ACACACACACACACACACACACACACACACACACACACACACACACATCTCACATCCCATATCTATCCCATCCCATTCTCCCGACTCCCACCCCCACCATACTCACACACACGCGTGCAAGTTGCGGTGCCGCCGTTGTATTCGTACGGCTTTGCATCTCGAGGTGCTCCCTGCCGCTACGCTATCCTCTCAGATTCGCCTCTCCGATGGCATCCCCAGAGTCGAAATCGCCCGAACAGTCCGAGAAAAACCGGAAATACGATCGCCAGTTGAGGTAAGCTGATCACCAAGTGTATATTTTGAGGTTAAAACTGCCAGCTCCAACTTCCAACTTCCAATCTCTCTGTTCTTTGATTGGATAGCGAACTCTGTATCGCTGTCTTTAACTTCAGTCTACTTTTTCCTTAAAAGTTTGTTTTCTCTTCTCTCATGCGACATATGTGATGTTTTCAATTGTGATCTTCGTCTACCTGACAGATTATGGGGTGACCATGGTCAAGCAAATCTGGAGGCTGCTCATGTCTGTCTCATAAACGCTACCGGACTTGGCACAGAGGTACTGAAATCACTGGTGCTTCCAGGTATAGGAGCGTTTACCATAGTCGACGGCAAGAAGATCACCGACGAGGATATCGAAGCTAAGTATGTATACATTATCTTGTTACAACGCCAGGTACTTAAGGCATGGCTCGACGCAACACATTAAATCATTAAATGGATTTGACTTAGCTTTTTTTTAGAGGCGGACAGCGTTGGAAAGTCTAGAGCGCAAGTGGCTACTCAAATGCTTTTAGAGCTGAATCCAGACGTAACTGGGGATTACATCGACGAGGAGCCTGAACAAATTTTATCCAACAGCCCAGACTTTTTCAATAGCTTCACCGTGGTTGTAGCGACTGCGCTGACTGAAAAGTAAGAATACAATACAGATATAATCTATGAAGAATATTTAATAGAATACATTACGTATCTTTTTCAAGTATCGCTTCTGACATTGGGATAAACGTAATAATAAACGAATTCTTGGGAATATTTTCAGAACGTTGATTCTCCTGTCGAAAAGACTTTGGGAACTGAATATTCCTCTATTAGTATGTAGAAGCTTAGGCTTTATCGCATATATGCGGATTCAAGTAAAGGAGCACACGGTTGTAGAAACCCATCCGGATAACGAAACGTCAGATTTACGCCTAGACAGACCGTTTGATAGCCTGAAGAAGCATATAGATTCCATAAATCTAGATGAAATGAGCTTCAAAGATCATTGCCACGTACCGTACCTAATTATTTTGTACAAATACCTAGAGAAATGGATTTCGGTGCACGGCGCTTTGCCGAAAACTTACAAAGAGAAGCAGCAGCTCAGGGACATGATAAAAACTGGCATGAGACGCGATGAACACGATTCTTCTAATAGTGAGGAAAATTTCGAGGAAGCTATGAAGGCTGTAAATAAATGTATAAGAGTGAGCGATATTCCCGATAGCGTTATAAATATTTTAAACGACGATCGTTGCGTCAATCTGAGAGCGAAGGTATCGATAAAATGTTCTATATGATTTATACATCGTTTGGAAACATTTTGAGTTCAAACTGATCGATATATTTTAGAGCAGCTCTTTCTGGATTATTGCGAAAGCAGTCCGTGATTTCATCGATAACGAAGGGCGAGGACTGCTACCACTTAAGGGTAATCTACCCGACATGACTGCGGATACTGAGAAATACATTGCACTCCAACAAATGTATATTGAAAATGACAGTTATATAGGACGGTGATGCACGAAAAAGTAACAGTCTTCTGTGTCAATGCAAATAAGAGTGTTTTATTAGTAAGTTTATTAATAGTAAAAGTATAACAAATGTTATATTACATTTAAATAGTTATCGTATTTTTATTTACCATTTTAATTAATATAATCATAATAATAATATTAGAAAGAATGTAATTTAAACTGATATACACTAAGATTGCAGTACTTTTTCGTGCGTTACTTTTCAATCTGTTATAAACTAACTCGCGTTAATATCGAATTTATTTTAGTTACCATAAACAAGCATCGGCAGATGCGGAAGCAGTATGGAGGCGCACTTTGCAATTACTACGTCAACTAGGAAGATCGTCAGACTCGATTTCAGAAAAGGAGGTCAAGCTGTTTTGCAGGCATGCCGCTAATATTTATGTAGAAAAAGGCAGCTGCATCGCGGACGAATATGATCCCAAAGTTTTTGATACTAATATTATAGGTAATTATCTTCTTTTGAAAAATATAAAATCATATTTTATAATTTATAATTCATAATCATGAAACAAGTTATCTCTATAGTAATAAAAAGAAAATATTGATTATACTGTAATACAAGAAGGAAGAATTATAACCCTTTTATATAATGTTTTCTTGTAATTAATAGCTATTAGTAAAGTATCTACTGTTCTTAACGACTACACATTTTTTACAGTTCAAAATTTAGAGAATCCAGAAAGTATGATGATTTACTATGTCATGCTCCGGGGAGTAGATAAATTCCAGGCAGAGTATAATTCGTATCCCGGCGAATTTGATGATCAAGTGGAACCCGATATCGTGAAGCTTAAGGTATTATCTTCTCTTTACACGTATGAAATTATCACGTTACAATTGTTCTGCAATCGAGTCGTGTTACAGACGTGCCTCACGAAACTGTTGAGCGAATGGGGATGCGGTCCGTTAGCCAAGGACGATTACGTGCACGAGCTTTGTCGATTCGGCGGCGCGGAATTGCACTCCATCTCGGCATTTCTGGGCGGGCTTGCGGCGCAGGAAACCATCAAGCTCATCACGAACCAGTATAAACCCGTTCACAATACCTTCATCTACGACGCCGCCACATCGTACTCTGGAACGTTCTCCTTTTGAAGTCGCGAACTGTTATGTGAAAAGAAAGATCTATGCTAATTAAAGTGATAATACAATCTTATAGCTTATATTAATTCTTCGTGAGTTCTTTAATTGTTTCGAATTAAGACGGATGGCCTTTGTGAATGTTAACGCTATTTTCTCCGTCTGTTATCCCATTTATTATCTTTCATGCGATTCTAAAACAGATTTAAAACACGCCAAAATTTTTTCGTTCCAAAAATAAGGAACGAAGGAAATATATAACGAAAGAGAAACGATTCTAAAAATTATTGTACTTTTCAAGAACATAAAGCATTTTTTTACATTCACAGGAGTCTAGCTTTTTTTCAATGTATCTCTGTGACTGCGTTCGCTTTAGGCGCTTCCGTGCTGAAAGCGTCAGTCCATCTTTATTGCTCATTATGTTGAAAAAAGATGGAGTGATGCTTTCAGCACGAAAGCGTCCAAAGCAAACGCAGCCACAGTCTCTCAAACAGAAAGCTAATCGTTTTATTTACGCAATGTATTAAAGTCAGAACAATTAATTTAATTAAATCCAAGGACCTTGCATTTTTTAAATAATTTAACGAACATCTAATCGATCGCAATGTGTAAAATTCGTAGATAAACGCAATTTAGTTAAAATTCTAAAACTAATAAAAAATTATTAGTCCATAAAATCCAGAAACTTTAGAAATAATGTTGCTAGACGAATCGGGGTTTTTGAGCGCGTGCATTAATTGAGCCGATTGAAATATTTTTAATCAAATAGGAAAAAGAGAACTTTATTTGGCCTTCATTTAACTATTTCTAAAAATTATTTATATTATCCATCTTATTTCTGAAAAATCAATAGATCATTGATAACCTTTCGTCTTTCATACGCCGAGTATTTCCTATTATTCTAGTTTCCTTTTATTTAACCGCGGTTTATGACGTAGCTACAATCGAAAACACGGCTGCGCCGCGCACAAACGAAAATCCCAGCAAGTCTCGTGATAATTATTTTCGTTACGTCAAGAGTCAGGTTGGCACTCGCGCGTGGTCTTGTGATCGAACAGCTGAAGGAGGCAAGGAGGACGAGGAAGAGGACCGAACACTGAGCTTTTCGAGCGAGATTATTTCTTAAATCGACGTGAATTCTCGACGGTAATCATGGTGGACCGTGCGAACATCAAGCAGATGATACCGGCGTTGCCGGACGAGAAGATCGGGAATTATGGTAATTATTCAGATTATTCTTGTCGCGCGAAGGAGATTCGTTTGACAGTGCGCCCCTCCCAGCGATGCGGTCTGTTTTTATTGTTTGTTTTACAATTGTAATCGTAAGTACTTGTTGCAAACGTTGGCTTGTACGAAGTTTATTTTATTGTTTTTCATATTTTGCACTGAACACTTAAACGTCGACTTACGTGATTTTGCAGATATGCTGGCAGCTACGAGTGTGCTCCAGCAGCAGGCTGCCGATATTAGGAATCAACGAATTAATTGGCAATCGTATTTCCAGTAAGTAATCGCATATATAAATGTGAGAGCGTTAGATTGTCCGTGAGAAATCCGATCTGAAAGTTTTAGGATGTATCCTTGGTTGCAGCTTGACAAGAAAACTACATATATAGGATTGCCCGTGTAGAGAAATATATTCTAACGTTTATGATATTTCCAGATCACAAATGATATCAAAAGAGGACTACGACTTTATAGCGGCTTTTGACTCAAGCGATACCAAAACAAGGGAGAATAAGCTGAAGGAGAATCCACATCAGGCAGCTAAAACATTCCTGAATTTGCTCGGTCACGTTTCGAAAGATCAGACGATTCAATATATTCTCACAATGATTGATGATATGCTACAGGTATAGCAACACATCTTTTCTCTTATTATATATATTTTTTCTTATTATAATAGATTAAATAAAGATCTTTTTATTAACCATGTTATTTTGTCAATATTTTTAATAAAAGATATTTTATTTATTAATGGAAATTGATGTAATATTTATAGGAGGACCGCGGTCGCGTGGAAATCTTCCGCGAGCACTCCACGCGGAAACGAGAATCTGTCTGGGGACCATTCCTCAATCTGTTGAACAGGCAAGATGGCTTTATAATGAACATGACGTCGCGTATTATAGCCAAGTTGGCTTGCTGGAGTCACGATTTCATGGAAAAAACTGATCTTCAGTTTTATTTAACATGGCTTAAGGATCAGCTGAAACTTAGCGTGAGTTTGACAGATTATTGCACGCATGTTGCACAAGTCAGGAAGTTGAAATAACTATTGGTATAATAAGATTGATAACTTATTTTATTTTTATTTCAGAGTACTAGTAGTTTATAATAATTACTTTTTAATCAAATATATTCTATATTCATAATACTTAAATATAGATTTAAAACTATATTGATTTAAAACTATACAGATTATTTGGATTTTGGAATCTATTTTTTTTTTCTGAGCATGTATAAGTTTTCTATGTAGTACATCTAACATTTTTTTTTTTTTTTAATTTAATTTTTTACTTAATTTGTTGTACAGTAAGGTGCATTAATTTGATGGGTCATCGAATTCTGACTTATTGGCCACTGGGTCTTTAATAAATTATTAAAGTAAATTATTAAAAAGTCAGAATTCTATGACTCATCGATTAATGCACCTTACTGTACATAGAGAAAATGTATACTTATCTTGTAGCCAAATAATGAAATAATCTTTGTTTAAAGGCTAATAATATATAGAGTTAGTTGCTTCATGTAGCTACTACTGTTTTACCTTTTAATATGAAAACTTTTAACTGCATGCTGCATGCAATGTGTTTTTAGTAATTGAGCTAGCTTATATTTGTATGGACATGATTTCTTTAGAAATAATCATGCATCTTATACTTAAGTTTAATGAAAAGGATGGCATTTCTCCTTTTAATGCTTTTTTATTACACTAACACTGATATAAACACTTCATGCTTTATATTATTTAATTTAATATACATTATTTTTAATATTGTTATTTTATAAAATTAATTAAATAATACTTATAATATTTGTAAACACACTAATCCGATGGGTTGTGGCAAAAGTCTGTGTGGCATTTAGAGATTATAGAATTTACGTGGCAACAGTCTGTGTGAAAAATCGACAAAATTTAGATATAAAATTAAAAATAAGCGCATAACTAACCCAATAAAACGATAAATCGTCGTGCGACTGACAACTAGATATTCTGCTTTCCGCGCTCAAGCTTCAGAGAACCTTAAATTACAATAGAATTTGTAATGAATGAAAAGAAATGAGAGAAATGGGGTTTTAGTTCGATGCTCTTCAGGATCACACAGACTTGCATGTGGGACTAGAACAAGATACTGCTGTGGAGCAGGCCAAGGAGGCCAATGACCTGCACGAATTGCTCAACCCGGTTGGTTTTGTAACGACTAATCAGTAGTATTACTCATTATTCTAAACGAATTATGACGTTTTTTTAAGTTATATTCTGCCAACAAGTGAGCCACTAATAATTCGTCGGGACCTCGGAAAAGTATCACGAGTCTCTTACGTTTAGGACAATTAATTGATAAAAGTATAATCATAGATATATGCATGATTTGTGCTTTATAAAAGCCTATTTTATGTGAATGTTACGTTTATAAATGCAAATTCCTTAAAACCTTAAGCCAACTTGCAAACTTATAAAATTTACTTTTCTCTCAAAAAGTGCTAAAATGTCTTTTTCTTTTTACAATATTGAATTATTTTACTGTCGTACTTTTGCATGTAGCAACATATTTATTAAACGCTTGTCCTTGAAATTGAAGACAGATTCATTTTCTTTGTTTCTTCTTATCTCCATACCTTTGTAAGAAAAGACTTATAAAGTATATATTAATTATTTTTATTCACTTAGAACAATGAGTACATTCAATCAGTGGCGCGATGTCTACAAATGATGCTTCGTATAGATGAATATCGCTTTGCATTCGTGTCCGTCGATGGAATTTCGACCCTCCTCAGTGTTCTGTCTGGCAGAGTAAACTTCCAAGTGCAATATCAGCTTATTTTCTGTCTGTGGGTACTTACTTTCAATCCTCTCTTGGCGGAAAAGATGAATAAGTGAGTAGCGTATCTCCTTTTTGACATTACTAGAGATTTACTAGAGATACTCTAGTAGATAATATTCAATCTAATCGCTATATTATCTAATTATATATTAATTATGTATCGCAGATTCAATGTCATACCCATTCTTGCCGATATACTCAGCGACTCGGTCAAAGAAAAAGTAACACGTATTATACTTGCGGTGTTCAGGGTAAGTCGGAAGTGTGTTGTAGAGTAAAAAAATAGTTATACAAGATTACTTCATGGTTGGTATCTTTTCGTGTTAATAGAATTTGATTGAGAAAGTAGAAGACGGACAAGTTGCCAAGGAACATTGCATCGCTATGGTGCAATGCAAGGTACTGAAGCAGCTTTCCATATTATGCCAACGAAAATTCGACGACGAGGATATCACTGATGATATCGAGTTCCTCAATGACAAACTGCAAGCATCCGTGCAGGATCTAAGTTCATTCGACGAATATTCGACGGAAGTGAAGTCCGGTCGTCTAGAATGGTCTCCCGTTCACAAATCGGGCAAATTCTGGCGCGAGAATGCCAGTCGTCTTAACGAAAAGAATTATGAACTCTTGCGGATTCTGGTCCATCTATTAGAGACTAGTAAAGATCCGCTCGTTCTCAGCGTGGCCAGTTTCGACATTGGCGAATACGTGCGTCATTATCCACGTGGCAAGCAGTACGTCAAAAATACCATTAAATACCGTGTTAAATTCTTTTTACTGCTAAAACTGCAATTTATTAAAACACCCGTTCCACGTATTTTAGTATACTTGAACAACTTGGCGGGAAACAGCGTGTGATGCAGCTTCTTGGGCATGAGGATCCTAATGTTAGATACGAGGCTCTACTTGCAGTGCAAAAACTTATGGTACATAATTGGTAAGTTACAGAGTTTAAAATATCTTACATTATTTGACGTTTATGTTATTAAAATAATTGATTTATAAGAACATTTTAAATATTTTCATATATTCTATTTCATAGAGTATATATATCCAAGTATATATATATATATATATATATATATATACTTTTTATTTAACATTTATATATAAAAATTTGTAACTACTCCTCAATCTGTTTATTTTGTAGGGAGTATCTTGGAAAGCAATTGGAGAAAGAACAGACAGGCGCATCTGGAGCACCCACTAACAAGCCCGGAGCACAAGTGCCAGCAAAAGCTTGAACATTTATGCAACTTGTACAAATATTCTGGTTTCAAGAGATTTTCGAAAGTATTATATAGTTCGCGTAATATAATCTACCATTCGCTTGTTGTAAAGCACACAAAACTCAAGATATTTACATTCCCTTTCATTATATACAATTGTAAAAAAAGAAGAGAGGATATATAATCGAATCCATTTCTCTTTTGGGCAAATTAATTTTGTAACATAAATTGTTGATCGAATTGTGTATATACAGATGTTTTACATTGCGAATATATGATAGGTATATAAATGCCAGTGTAATGAACTTCATCGTGTAATATCTTAGCTTTATGAATAGAATTTGTTGTCTGGAATGTTAGAAAAAGGAAATAAAATTTTACTCTGTTGAAAAAAAACTAAATATATACACGTACATACATTATAGGCACATTCTCACGATTAGTTAAACTCGGCTAAATTTTATTTTAACGTTTATATTACAGGACGCCAACTGTATTAAAAGAAATCTAAAGATATATGGTATCTCGATCTCCTCTACCGTATCTTCCTCACCGCACAAGCGGCACCTTTTCTCGTCTTCATAATACATACTTTTCACTATTAATTCCGGTCCGAGTAATGAGCCGCACTTTTGACACGCTAAAGTCTGTAAATAAATATTTATTTTAATCAGATATATAATCAAATTGTATATAGATAAGTAATACTTAATCAGTTAGTATTGGCATATCTGGAGAAAATCATATCTTACCGTTATTTTATCAGAGCAATGAAAGAGACGATCTTGAAGGAGATACGAGCAACCATGAGAAATCAAAGCGTCTCGTTCCATCTCTCCAAATCGAATACCGCCGCCGCGTCGACGACCTTTAATGGGTTGTCTCGTTAGCATGTCAATCGGTCCGGTACTTCTCACCTAGAAATGAGATACACGTTTAGCCTAGTTTCAGTATAATCAAATTAAATTATTTAAAAATATATAAAAAACGGAGACAAATAAAAACTCGTCAAATGAGAATTGCAATCAAATAACAAGTATATGAGAAAAGATGGAGTGAAAAAGATAAATCTTATTTTCATTAGATGCTAATATAGAAATTCGTATAAGTTAATTACCTGCCACTTATCAGAGACCATATGTCGTAATCTCTGATAATGCACAACGCCAAAGAAGATGCTGGCGGTCATCTCGCATCCATAAATACCCGAATACATTCTTTCATTTCCGTAATAATTATAACCACCGAGTTCTAACAATTTTCCGAAGTAGTCTATGGACGTGTTTTCTTCGTCAAACCTAAAAGGCGTGGCATCGTGAGCCAATCCATGCACAGCCGCTGATTTTCCAGCCATCACTTCGATCATCATAGCTGTGATAATAGAAAATAATTTATTGCACGGCCGTTAACATTAAAATTACATCTGCATTTTCTTGATAGATTCTTATGAGAAAAATAATCTTTAATATTGTATATTCGAATACTCATGCTAAATACAGGTTTAATTGAACGCTGTCAGTTCGTCATTGTATTATATTATGGCCTAGTTTACACCGATCTCTTGATACGCGTATCAAATTGTATATTTAAGCTGATCAGCCAATAATTGAACTAGTTTACTAGTTATTTACTATTTAATACGCATATAAAGTGATCGGTGTAAACTATAACGTATTCCAACAATAGTTATTTGTGTAACAAGTGCCGTAAGATGAAAATTCCCGGGTGCGGTTACCGCACTCGCCTTCGGCTCGTGCGTAAACTCCGCACGGCTTACACACCCTATTTTATGTTGCAAGTGCGTGGAAAGTGGTCTATCACGCACGCGTAGCGTGCCAGCATAATGGACCACTTTCCATGCACGTGTTGCATAAAATAAATTCTCTGGCTTACCTATCGTCATACGACTCGGGAAACCGTGCGGATTGAATATAATATCGGGAACCATCCCGGTCTCCGTGAACGGTAAATCCTCAACAGGATACAGTCGCGAAAGGATTCCTTTTTGTCCCGCTCTTGACGCGAATTTATCTCCAACGGTGGGATTTCTCTAAATATAAATTGTATTTAAAATAAGAAAACGTAAAATAAAATATACACACATATGTATGTGTGTATATATTGTGTGTATATATATATATATATATAATAATTGTACTAACAGGAATACGGAATGTAATGCACGCTCTTCGGGAATCCTGACTTAATGTACCACACAGTTTTACAGTGTCGACATAAGCATTTTCCGTGCTTTTATATCGTCCAACGACATACTGACCGTTATCAGCATCGTAATAACTGTGAAATACATAGACCATCGATGAGATTTTAGAATAAAGAGACCATAATGTGACGATATTGAAGTTACAAGAGCTACTTACGAATAGTATGCGTCTCCTTCTTTAATAATAATACCTGGCATGGGCAAACCGTCAACATCTATTGTTTTCACAAGTTCAGGTTTTTCCGGATCACGAGCGAAATAACTCTTTTTATCGTTCAAATCAACAAACTCGGATTTATAAACCGTTCCATGTCCGAAGCCACGTTCGAACGCCGACTTGTTGATGACCATTGCGTCTTCCATATCGTATCCCTGTACATCAAATTATCGATATAGAATGGTGAGACAAATATAAAAGTAAAATCACTGATACTAGAAACAAAATATTAAATAGCAAAATTGTAGCTCACTGTGTACGAGATAACAGCAATTATCGCATTAGTACCCATAGGAAAGTTGTCCATGTTAATATTATCATAATGTACCGGTCTAAAGAGTGGTGCGGCAGGCGTTTGCAGTCTGTACAGTTTTGTTTGTGACTGCTGTTGCCAATTGTGACAGGGTGTAGCCATTGTTTGCTTACTCATCTGCGAAATTATTAAAAAATCGATATATTTCAATCAGCATCATGTGCTATTAATGCATTCACAGTCCACAAGATTCAGATGCAAGTCGGAATATTTTTAATTCAGGGCTCCACGGATTATATTATTACATTATTATTTATGCCCTGCGAATATGCAAGTGGTAGTTCATATCCACAGATATGGACAGTGAACATTGAAACATGCTAATTATTTCATGTAATATAGACTTACCTGACACTGATACATGTTTCTTGGACTTTGGTTACAATCTGGCAGCGGAATGAGATTAGCTAAATTGCTGAAGATTGTTGTCGGGCTTACCTCCTGATGAGTTGTCAACTAGTAAAAAAAAAAAAGTAAAATTGTCACATTATACAGAAATTTAAAAAAATTAACGCACGCAAAAAAATTATATAAAAATTATATATATCTACCCCTTCGTATGCTTCTTGAGGGGTCACACAGATTTCCATGTAAATTTGCTCAAACGTTCCTATAAGCTCTACCTTCTGCGTAGCTAAATTTATAACCGGTCTCATCATTCTAGCCGCGTTAGTAAATAAGAATAATCCCGGATACTGAGCTGGAACATTTTTCTTTGGTACCAGCGCAATTTCCAATGTTGACGGTACCTAAAGATAAAATATATCGGATATCATGTGCCATACCATGTTACAAGTCAAATCAAAAGGCATCACGTTTACAACTCACTTCTCGACCGATTATCTTAAGCAACCTCAACTTGTATACTACTCTGTTAATAATTTTGTCCTGAATCAAGCCGATCAATTTCCCATCTAACATTACGTTATACGAATTTCTCCAATCATCCGCGATAGATAATGGAACCATTCCGAGATCTACCAGTACTGTAGGTATAGCAGCTTTCAATTTTGGATCTGGATGTTTCGTGACGATACAATTCATTGTCAAGTGATTGAGCAATCCGCATGGAGCACCGTCTGGTGTATGAATTGGACAAATAAATCCTACAAACAAATCATCATAATTATTTAAAGATTAATATATTATAAAAAATCTTTATAAATATATCTGTAATATTGTATACAATAGGAGATTGCTTACAATGATTGCTTATATTATGCATAATCAACCATTTTCTAAAACCTTTGTATATCTATTATTGTAGAAATTACGGCAAAGTTCTTAATTACCCCATGCATCAGGCAACAGTTGACGAGCTTCAGTAGTCCTCATATTTTGAAAGTATGCGCCTCTGTGTATCGCACGAAAATGACTCATATAACGCATTCTATTGATATTTTCCACAACAATCGTAAGACCAGAAGTTTGCATGAGCCCCAAACCAGTAGGTGATCTTATATTTCCGGTGGATAAGAAGTACTCCATTTGCGAATCAATGTTGCTTCGAAATTTAGTGACGTTCAACATTTCCTCTAAATAAGTATATTTCGAAAAAAAAGTTAGTCATCTATGAACCCAACTTGACAGTTTTTTTTTTTCACAAAAAGACCAACATTTTAAATAAAATACTTACGCATATTTAAGATATATCTATTACCAGCGCTCTTGGCACGTTTGAGAATATGAAGTTTGAGTCCTACTAGCCACGAACATAGTTTTTCTTTAAGAACCTGAAGATACAAGTGCCCACCCAGTAAACACTCCTGCATCATCACGGAATCCGCACCCTCAACGGCGCATTTGTTATTCGCGAGCGAAAACAGTTTTTTGGTCATAAACACAAGTAAATGGAACTTATCGGTGGGCTCGTCAAGATGAATAGCGACACAATGTCTGTGCGATAAAAATGATAAAAATAATTAAATTGAGGATTACACAGAAAACTGCAACGTAACATAAATTATTGAATAAAATTCAAACTCACTTGATAATGTAATCACAAACATCTATGTCAGTCGCGTCTGCAGGCAATTCGGAGAATTTTACTTTAAACACCTTTCCTATGTACGCTTTACACTGTTCGTGCCAGTGTAGACCTTCTTCGTGTACAGCACGTAACATATTCATGACACAATTATTGTAATAAAGATCATCTTCACATCCAGCGATTAGCACTTTGTAAATATATAAATCGGTCACGTCTATTAAACATTTTAACATCAGTATTAGTGGCACATAGTACGTAGCTTTCTTGTACGTAAATGCAAATTTTGCGGAGCCGTCGGTCACATAGTGCAGTGTATTATTCTGCAAAAAGACACAATTATGATAATATATGACCTGTACGAGAATGACAAGAGAAATAGTGCATGCAGGAAAATTCTACTCAAATACGTACAATGGCTGAGTTGTCGTCCCGGACACTTCTCAAAAGAATACCTAAGTCGCTAAATTGTACCCCACGACCTTTCCAAGTTGGCCTTTTGATAGCAATAGGATAGTTTCGTCTTGTCATTATTAACATACGTACGAGTCGCTCTAAGCCTCTGATTATAAAATATCCACCCCATTCTTCTTCATGTTCACCGTGAGCGACTAATTCTTCAGGGCTCATTTTGTTCAAGTGGCATCGATTAGACTGCAAAATATCAGGTGTAAAAAAAATTGCAATTCAACATAAATAAAATTACCTATTTAGAATGCAACCGTATAAAGTAGTAAATGCGACTCATCACAAGTGAAAGTCAGGAAATCATATCTGGACTTTACCTTGACCATGATCGGAACTTCTCCCAAATTCCTCTCAAGAGGTTCCTGCTCCTTACCATTGACAGACCATCCAAGTCTCACTATTATCTTACCCTTGTAAGTGGCGCCTCTCTGTCGACATTCTGTCGGATATACTTTATATGTTTTCACACCGATTGTATTAGAAGGAACAGTGGGCTTGTAGATATATACATCGTCCAGCCTGAGGACTACCTTGTCATCATTGGGAAGAGTTAAATACACTGGCGTACTGTCCTTTAAACCTTGAAAAAGGCCATCTTCTAGCATATAATTAAAGGACTCGACATGAGGCATACCTAGAGATTGCAATAACTGAAACAAATAATAAAATTATGTAAGCCTTATCGAGGCATTTTTCCTATAATATGCATTAAATTCTATAGCTTTTTTAAACATTGCAACATAAATATAGAGAAATTGTTTCCTACTATATTAACATAAGCTTACAAGCAAATCTATATAAAAATAATAAAAATGTTAACATTTACAGTACTTATTCATTATACAGGCACTATTTCTAATTGAAGTCAGCTCCTCAACTAT